TATCGGCCATCATGCCTCTTTTCTGGAATCTTCCTGTGTTGTATGAGCAGGTACAGATCTGGGGCAACATCAGATACATGAACAGAGCAGGTGCACAGCTTGCACACATTTGTGGTGTGTGCGGATAGATGGCCAGCTCTGGTCTCAGATGCAGTGTAATCCAAGGCTGACAGGTAAATATAGCCTGTGGCTGCTTCAGGCTGGGCTGAGTGCTGCTCCTTTCTGCTCTGCTTGACCTTGGCTCATCCTGCCCTCCCTCTCCTCAGTGGGGATGAAAAGGCACTGGTGCATACAGCAGTGCAACAGTATACAAGAGGTTTGTATCACATAAAACATTATGTTAAACATATAGCAGCAGAAATAATAATTTGATAATATTGGGTTAAATAACTGAAATGCCAAAGATTATGCAAACATTCAACTTTTAAGCTCTGCAGAGCTTTTAGGTATTTTTAGCTTTTTATCCTCTTTTGGGCCATTTAGTTTTTTCTGTATAATTTGAGTCACAGTGACACAAACTCCACTGAACCCACTGTAACCGAATGACAGAGAGACAAAGCTAGCAGCTTCAAATGCAACTTTTTGTCTGAACCTTGTGTCTGAACATAACCCCAGTCAGACAATTCCCTTGATTACTGGCATGTGCACTGCAAAAAAATCAAGTGGGCCTACAATAACGAGCCAATGTGACTGACTCAATCCAAATATTGTTTCAAACTTTTTGTCCGAACCCAACCCAAGTCGTGGGGTCCCGACAGGTATTTTTAGGCTTGGGTTAGGTATTCAATTCTACACAGGCCATAATCACATACAGTATCCAAACTTAAATAATGGCTAATGCAAAATGTATCCACAGAAGGGCGCAGGTTAACCCAAAAAAAGCACACACTGACTATCACACAAATTAGACCCTTGGATTCTAGGACACTTCCTAAAGAGCTCCACTCCCATGGGCGCACGTAAACATGCTCATTTCCTCCCCCTCCCCACACAAATACACAGTGTATGAGAGTATTCTTTTCAAACCTCCTCTTCTGTTGAATCTGGGACAACATGCAACACTATTTAAATTGGGCAGAATTGCATCTTTATTGATTTAAACCCAAAACTCTATAATATAAAAATAGCCATATGAGGAGGATTTGTATCTTCTCTAACATTTATATTACTTTATTTATGTAGATAATCCATCCATCCATCCTTTTTCTATACCCCTTATCCTCTGAGGGTGGTGGGGAGAGCTAGAGCCAGTCCCAGCTGACATATAGTGACCAACAACCATTCAGGCTCATATTCAACCCTATAGACATTTTAGAGTCTCCAATTAACAGTCCACATGTCTTTAGACTGTGGGAGAAAGCTGTAGTACCCGGTGAAAAACCTTGAAGACACAGGAAAAACATGCAATCTCCACACACAAAGACACCACTGTGCCGTCCTATATCATCTTTAATTTCCAACTTTAGGCATCACTTAAAAGTACTTCTGATGTCATCATCCTTCATGTTGTTTTGTATGAAGACAAATGCCAGTGAAAGAGGGGGAGACACAGAAGAGAGTTTTGGCTAATTGGGCCCGAGTATCCATAAGGTTACATGAAAGTGGAATGAGATTGCCTGAAGCCCTGTTTTTTTTCACTCACACACACAAACTGTGTGCACACAGCTCCTACAATACAAGCAAGCAAGAGCACCCACTGTCCATTAGCAGATCATTGGATCCATTGTATTAAGTGCAGGCCTGAAGGAAACGAGAAAATGTGAAGGCCCAAGAGCCTCACGCTGAGTTCCTCCAGTAAAAGCTTTCATGTCCCAGATTAGTCGGTCTCCTCGGTTACAAGGAACTGAAAATGAACTCAAACAATCTTTATTCCAATTTGAAGATGGCCAAGCATTTTAATGTGCTGCCTCATTCATTCATGTCATTCCATTCTTGAAGTTCTTATCTTATCACTGCCATGGAAGAGCGAAGCTTATTTAAAGCATGTTGTTATTGTTATGAATCACATGCCAGCTGACTGCGGCCCAAGACTGATTTGGTTTCCAACTCATTAAGTGGTTTCCGACACTGGATTTCTAATTTCTAAATTTCCAAGCCGATGCTAAGGATGAGTACAAACATTTGATAAAATTAAGCAGATCCAATTTTTTTTCTACTTTGTTTTGTCAGCATCTGCATGCTTATAGTGCTCCTCTTCTTTACTACAAACCTTCAGGATTGGGATCAATGGACTCATAACTAATTAGGTCTGCTTCACTGTATCAGATTCATATCTCAGTCAACATTTAGGTAAATATTAATCAGGGGCTGGACTCTGTTTTGACAGATATACACATTGTTTACAGGACTTTGATTGTAATTGCGGCACCAAAAAACCCTGATCAAGACATCCATAATTCATAGTTGCAGAAATCTACGACTATCATGAGACTGTTGTGACTTGTGACCAGTAAACATTCACCAGGGATCAATAAACATACTGCCCAAAGCCTATAGTGAGATAGATAGTGATCAAGTGATCCATAGTGATAAGGTTACAGCCAGTGGGTCAGTCAATGTGGCCAAACAGTAAACTCCACAGTTTATTGACAAAAAGCATTGGATTTAGCTGGATTTCTAACCGCCTGATGACTTAATTTAGCCAAACAAAAGTATATCAATATATCATACTTCAGTTTGCCTTTATGACATTTCTGCTCTTGTTCTTCTCTTACTGGTCAACCTTTTCATTTTTCAGATATATGACGAATGCTAGAAGAAGCTGACAAAGGTCGTAGATCTATTCCAAACCTACTGTCGGACTAATAACATGCACCTGAGACAGCAGAGCCAGCAAAGCGGCCCTGCACTTTTCCTCCCATAACTAGATTACTGTCCAGCCAATCCACAGTTATCACAGGATCTCTGTTGGCACTGTAGTGAATGACCTTTGTGCAATGGCAGTAGAGAAGAGAGATGCCATGTTGCCAAGTTTGATTTACATCGAAGGAAGCTAATTAACGTCCTCAGGACATTAAGACCTGCCTGTGCCTCCTCTGTCCCTCGCTGTGTCTTTGACTTGCTCCCTTGCTCCATCTGAATGCAAAGTCCAGGAGGAAATATTGAATTCTCCTTTTTTTCTTTTGATGATCTGACAAATTTTGCTCAAGAACATTGATGCAAAAATCTTGCACATCTAATATACTCGTTAAACTTTCCTGGTTCCTGATACAACCAAAACTGTTGGTTTTTGGTTTGATCATTCATGAGGTCGTTATTTCACAAACTGATACATTTTGTGTCAAAAAAACTGATTATATTTCCTTATTATAAAATAATCTCAATTTTGATAATCCTGGCATTCTCATCTCAGTGTTTTAAGTTTCAATTACTCAAAGTTTTTTTTTTTGCTGTCAATCAAAGTTGAAATTCAAACTCATGCCAACCTTATTTTAGCCTTTTAACCTCATTCCATAACAAATATGGGAAAATGACAAGATCAATACATCCAGTCCAGTTTACGATTGACTAATCTTCAAATAACTAATCTGTTTGTGTCAATTTACACCATTTAATTTATTTTATGGGGCTGTTGCTGTTCTACTGTACAAACTACATGTGTAAAAGATCAATTAAAATCACTTGATTGACCGATGGAGTATAAGATCATAGAGATGAATCAAGAAAAGTCCTAAGGGAATGGAGGATATTGCAGATTAATACTGTAAGTGATACTGTGGTACTGTATTACTCACATTTTCACCAAAACTGTTTTCTAGTTTACATCAAAGTAAATCTGCAAAACAAGCTGAGCATACAGCTAAATCCCAACTGTAAGTCCACTGACATGCTCAGCAAGCCCTACAACAATCTGTATTTCACTGAGTGAACATTAAAGAGAAAGAAATTACACCCCATGAGCAGTGAGCACCCCCAGCTCCCTCTGCAGATTCCATTTATTTTTGTACTCTGCCTCTTTTCCTTTGTCTTTCTGTCCTTCTGACAAACCCTCTTCCTCTTTGTGTTACATGCACACACACATTGAACAATCTACACATCGTAATGTTGCAATTTACATTAAAAAATCCATACGTTATTTAATCTGTTCAACAGGTACCTTCTTTTCAGTGTTGCTAAGCATGCGTGCACGGCAGCGCAACCCCAAAAAAATCTGCACCCAAAGGCACAGCTAGAGCAGGAGAGTGAACAAGAGAGTGGAACGCAGGGGTGACTGAGAGCTGTCATGCTTACAGGATGATATTCTTCATGTAAGCATGACAATACATTTAAATATTCACTTTCTGCACAATTACTAATACTGGAAACAAATACTGTTGTATATAATATAATTAGCATTAATGTCTCCAATTGGCAACACATGCACAATGCAACCAAACAGGTACACAGACAGGTTATTATTAGGGTGTACCTCCATCTTCCCCCTCCATTTTATATCTACCCCAATGAAAAAGAAATCTGTAATATGGGGGAACCACCGTATCTAAGACCAACACCATTTCGGAGAAAAGAGGAGAGTATGCACAGCATATCAATGATGATGTGATTACATGCATACCAATACGTGCACATGCAGTGCACTGAACTTGCACTGCATTAAAATGAATGAGCTGCAGCCATGTAATACCACAAAGCGCTTCTCATGTGAAAGAGAAAAGAAAACTCTTATTCAATCAACAACTTCAACCATACAGCAATCATCATTTTCATCATCAGCCTCCTTTTCCTTCCCCTGTAGCTGAATATCTGATGGAGCAAACACAACCTGCACCAGAGCATATGTGCCTGACTGGTTGGCCTGCACGCACGCACACACCAACTGAGGCTGCAAGACCTCAGCTGGGATTATGTGTGATTATACATGTGTAACTGCAGCCTTGCCAATCATGTACAATAAATGCATTGATAGAGAGACTTGTAGAGAGAAAGACAGGTAGAGGTGGGGAAAGATGGATGTGAGAAACCCCATTACCTCCCATGTCTCATGAGACAGAAAGCCATACCTTGCGCCTGCGGTCCCTGGATCGATTCCTCTTTTTTATCTTTTCCTCCTCCTTCTCCCTCTGCTCCTGGGCGGCGGCCTCCGCAAGGTCCTTGGTCTTGCGGAGCTGCTTGGCGGCTTGTGCCATGGTGCCGCTGCTACTGCTGCTGCTGCTCCAGTCACTGTCGTTCCAGCCCTCCTCCGGCTCGCACTACCTCCAGTCGTCCCCTGCTTCCTCCTCCCGTGTCCCCCAAGCCCTGTCACTTACTAACTCCTCTCTGGTGGCCACCACGACATGTGTGTGTGTAAGGCAAGAGGTGGAAACCTCTGTGTCTGGATACCGGTGTGTGTATGTGGGTGATGATGATGCTACAGCAGCCACAAGACAGCCTCCAGCAGCCTCCAGCAGCCACACAGATGGATGCTACAGCTAGGGGTGCTGATGCTGATGCTGATGCTGGTGCCTGTGCCGCGGCTGCTACTCATCCAGTCAGCTTGCACTGCGCTGAATTGCCTTCCCCTCCCCCTTCTTTCTATCCTACCTTCCTCCCTTCTCTCCTCTCTCCTCCCTCTCTCCCTGTGCTTGCACAGACCTGTCACGCAGTCCCGTGTTCAGCACAGTGGGAATCCTGCAGCAGCGCTCCTTCCTTTAATCTGTCAAATGTGCTCCCCTCTGCTGCTGCTCCGCTCATTTTCTCCACAGTTTTCCTCTCTGCTAAAGGTTTTTCTCTCACAATAGGTGCTGTTGCGTCTTGCATAACTGAGGTAGAATAGATGAGGGCGCCAGAGCTGCGGAATGCCTTCAAATAGGATCTTTTCTTCTCACGTCTTCCCTCCCTCTGACCATGGCTTTTCCATGGCACCTCCCTCCTGGAAACAGATGGGGAGAGAGAACAGTGGTGAGAGATGGAAGGGCGTAAGATAGAAATTAATATCCTGCTTTTTTAAAATCCAATATACAGTCACTGAATGCTTGTGTTTCTGTGACATGGTTCTTCATGTAGCTTGATCATTTTAGGGGTGTAAAATGGGAGTGTAGAAACATGGTGCCATACATTAACACCTACACCACCCTACTTCCCCTCACGTTTCAGTGTCAGAAGCAGACAGGGAGTAAAAAAAACATCAACAACATGAATGCTTCATAAAAACTGCATGTCCTCTGACTCCCCTTTCCTTCCACTGCGTTCCCTTTTTCTATTACGCGAGGAGGGCATGCATGAATGTTTCATACAGCAGACAGTGAAATTCAAAGACAAATAAAGCAAAGGACAGTGATCGGTCCATGTATTGATATTGGACGGAAATATTTTAACTCAAATGTTTAAACAAAGAAGAGAAAGTAAATCTATTTTCTAATCAAACATCCTCAAACTGTTTTACTGAATGTCATTTCTTCTTAACACTATAATATGTTGGTCTGTTGGTTTCAGTTTAAATGTATTAAGTTAAACTGGTATTGCAAAGGATGCACTGACGTTAAATTACATTATTCTCATAATTCTCTCTCTCCCTCCCACCTTTGCAACTTCATCTTTCTGCAGAATGATGCTGCAACATAATGTGCCCTCCACAAAGAGCCCATGTGACAGGACAAGGAATTAATACATGTTATATTCATAGATGCCATCTGCTATGCGATCAACACCAGATAATTCAAAGCCAAAAGGCATGACATGAAAGTAAATAGTGTGGCCATGTGTGGATATTCAAAATTGGATACTCTCTCGACGATCAAAGTATTTCTAAGGATATTTTCTGCCAACGTTAAGTGTTTTTGTTCAACAACTAATATTTGTGGGTTATATGTTTCACTCTGCATTCAATTGATTGACAGTTTTGCATCGTCTTGTGCCTAATGGATCTATTAAGCTGGAGGTCACAAACAAAATGACGCCATAACCTCAGCAGCAGTCTGGATTTGCCGGAAGGAGCTGTGTGGTCTTATGGAACAGCTGTCAATGGAACCAGAAGAGTTATTCCAAACTCCACACTGAAATTACCCTCAAGAGATGCATGTTTGCATTCTTCAAGGCTTTGCACAGCATAAGGACTACTAGACAAAAGGTTTTCTGATTGATGCTCCCACAGCGTTGGTCAAATTATGTTTGGCGGGCACAAATCTTTTAGACGAGCGGTCACTTAGACACTTAAATAAATGAACCACAATTGAGTCATCAGTCCGCTATATGGACGTCTGCGTGCTGCCATATTAAATCAACTTTTGTCAGGAGAGAGGTCATGCCTCTAAAGTGTTGTTAAATCATTTTGTATAATTGTTTTCTCATGAGAAAATGTCTCCCTTGTATACCTGTGTGCCACGCTGCTGCTAATTCAATCACGATTTAATAAAGCAGGCTACTATTAGCATAAAGGTTATTTACTTGTTGCTCTTATATCTGTATTATGTCCAGTCCTGCTCACATAAGTTCAAAGCTTTAGGAGCATCTTTTTCTGCATCTATACAAACATAAAAATAATGCAAATCAAGTAGAAAAGGTAAGTAGGTAGCTAGCACTTAGCATGTCCTGCTAATTGGCTAGTCCCATTAAACCTCGGATGCAACTGGAACGCCACCTAAAGTCGGAATCTCAACTCGAAAGGTCGGAAGAACCTCACCACCCCTTACTTCGAAATCCAAGATGCTGTGAAATGCTACATAATGAGTTAGTATGAACTGTTTTTGCTCTGTGCTAACAATGGCTAGCTGGCGTACATAAACATTGTTCCCGTGCAACTCAGGTCATTGAGTGCTAACTGCTAACCCTCTTACCTTCTGTTGCTAACTGACTAGCCCAATAGCTGCTAATTTCGAGAAGACCTTTTATACAAACCTCATTCCTACGTTTTAAATTCAGTGTATGGTTCTCACTCACCACCGCTGGCTAGTTAGCTGTCAGGTAAGCTATAGCACATTTTAGCTCCATTATTTAGTGTCTGGCACGAGAAGCTTAACTCGGGCTAGCTAAAATTTTGCTACCGTTTTTAAATGTGTTGGCTAGCTAAAGCTGGGTAACAACAACTTCTAATGTTTCGCTAAGTCAGATGAAATGGTGGGGATATTTATTTGTTTATCTATTTATTGATTCATCTGCTATTCTCAAGAAAAAAGTTAATGGATAGTTGCTAACGTTAGCATTAACTAATGGGCTTTCAAAGCAGATAAACAAGCTTAATTAAATAGTTTAATAGCATAATTCTTACCTTGTTCACCAAGATCTTTGCTCGTAGTCATTGCTTTAGATTATATTATGTTATGTGAGGTTTAATTTGTGCTCAATTAATGTTGAACTTACTGGAGCCAGTCTCCTGTAGATCTATGAATCTGAATAATGCAGGGTCGAGCATGCTGCCTCTGATCAGTATCTTTACAATGTTATAATCTATATATGTGTGTATTTACTTATGTGCCACAAGGATAACTCAAATCTATAAATCTGACAATCAATAAATATTCTGTAACAACGTATATGAACCCATGTAAGGGTTTAACTCTGCAGACAAGGCTCAGAAATACAAGCAGGACGTTATAAATGTGCAGACAGAGCAGTGATGAAGAACATTTCAGTCACAATAGAGATGAAGAGCTGCCGCAGATGGAGCTGAGATCTGTCACTGATGAAAACAGCACTGCTGCTTATGACTCCGGCTCCTGAGCCAAATTGAGCTGAGCTAAATATGGAAAATGATGAAGCAGACACGAACACAGGTAACACTCAGAGATAACGGCAAGAGCTGAGAGCAGAACGAAGGAACCATGTCCGAGAGGGTCATACGTCAAAGTAGTCCAATCAATTTTGTTTAGGTTAATCCAGATCTGGGACACGAGTTTAACCTTGTGACCTTGACCTTTTGATTTTAGATTACAACACAGGGACTTGACTTCAATCAATCAAGTTTTATTTGTATAGCCCATGTCCACAAATCTCAGTTTCATAGGGCTTAACAAGGTGTGACATCCTCTGTTCTGAACCTGCGACAGGACAAAAAAACCCTATTAACAGGGGAAATAAACGTAGGAACATGTGAGGGATCCCTCGACCAGGACGGACAGAAGAGCAATAGATGCCACATGTAACTAACATGGATTAGAAGAAACAGTTTTTAGCATAATGGAAAAGTGTGTCAATGCTTAAAGTATATATACATAAGAAAATGTCTGATTGAATTAAAATGGTTTATCTGAATTCGACTTCAGTACAAGTAGAATCATTTTAGAAAAATCTAAATAGATGTGATTAAGTTTTTCTAATAACAAAATATGTAGTGTTTTACGCTAAAATAATAGAATAACGCGTTCAGTCCTAAGAACTTAAAAAATGTATGAGGGATACATTTAAAGCTGCTCAAAGATCTTTGGGCAAGTTGTTGCATATTTAATAAGCACAACAGATAAAGGCAGCGCTCCCAGTTTTCTTCGGAGAATATTTAGTTTGCTGAAGAAGATTCTCAAGGATGCTGCGTGACCACGACTAAATAATTCAACACGTTCTACGACAGGGCTGCAAACATTTAATCTAAGAACAAACCAGGCAGCAGTGCAGTGGCTGCAGGAGTGAATGAATGAATGAGTTACAGCTCACTCTCATTGTTTTAGTTGCACAAGTTGACTCCATCAATCAACATATGGTGCAGCATGAAGTGTGATATTTACTGCCAGGGTGTCTGCTTTACATTCCTGAGAGGATTACACTGTTTTCAGTGGATGGTGATTCATGAGAGTGCAGAGATTTACGAAGTGCATTTCTGCCATTTAAAGCTCCAAACTGCTTGAACCATGTTGTGTTCACTGTGTTATTCTGCCATCAGGTGGCAGCTGATTGTTAGTGCAACTATCCAAGCATACTTTATAAAATATCCTCTAT